GGACACAGCAGCGGGCGGGCACCGGGAGCGTGGCCGCCAACAGGAAGCGGGCAGACTTCCCGTGGAACCTCAGAGAGGGAGGTCGGACGCGGGCCGGACACCGAGCCTTCCGGCTGGGCCGCCCACGGAGGAGAGGGGAGCAGCGTGTCCTCAGATGGACTGTCCCCGCCAGCCCCTCCAGCACAGCCCGGTGGCTCCAGAGCCCGCGGCCAAGTGTAGCCTGCAGGACGGGGTGGTCAAGGCTGCTCCCGACTCCATTTGCGTCTGAGTTCATTTTCCAGAAGGTTCCGCTGGATCGCTCCCTTGCCCTGCGGTAACCCCCGAGCCCAGGCAGGTTGGGCAGCCTCGTGCCAGGAGGCCCTGTGGGTGCCTGGAATGGGGACAAGCCCACCCAGGCAGCGCTGGTGGCCGGCCGTGTGTGGGACCGTGGTCCAGGCGCTCCCTTGACCCATCTTGCCCTCAGTTCGCGCCAGCCTGACCCACAGTCATAGAAGCTATGAGGCAGGGAGGGGCATTGAGGGGCGGGTGCGACCCTGAGCCCTGACGGGGCTGGACAGCGGCCTTCCCGCTGGCCACCTGGCGGGCAGTTGGGCATGTGTGGGAAGCAGGGTACCCGAGTTCCCATCTGAGGTCGTGGACAGAGGATGGTGGCCAGTCCCACTGGCCCCTCACCAGACCTCCAGAGCCGCTCGCTGCCCACCGCCCTGCCGCGCCGGTCAGCGTGGCCCCCGCCACCGTCTCCGTGGACTGGCTCCGGCTCCCCGCCTGCCTCGAGTGCGCGCTCACCGCTGCTCTCATGTGCCCACGTGGGTGCCACACGTCCGGTCCCTTGGGTGCTGCACCCACAATCCCGTCTCTGGGCACCTTCTCATCCTGTCCAGAAAGTTCCATGCTGCCCGCCCTAGCAGGAGCCCGCGTGGCCCCACACAGAAGTCCAGCGGGACCCCTCCCTCGGCCGTCCTGCACACCCCATGGGCAGCGCGGAGGCAGGGCCCGGCTGACCCCAGCCACACGCAATCAGGCTGCATTTGTGCCAACAGAGAAGTTGCTTGCGCCCGCCTGGCCTGCCGAGGCCCCCAGGGTCTTCCGTAAGTGCCAGCACTGCCCAGTGGGGTCCCCAAAGCCGGGAGCAGGTCTCTCCCCAACGGGGGCCGCGGGGGGCCGCAGGGGGGCAGGAAAGGGCTGTTGGTGGTGCTGTGAACGGAGGACCCCCTGCCACGCATGCTCCCCTACAGTTTGGGCAGGACTCGGCGCTGGTCCAAAACGCCCCTCACACAGACCGACGGGTGTGAGCGCGCACGTGGTGACGGGGCCTGGAGTCCCCCCAGTCCCCCCGGAAACCCGCCTCATCGCCGGCACACAGGAAGTGGCCACGTCCACCAAGGCGACCCCCATCCCCGCACCCCCGGGAAGCTCTGCCTTCACGAAAGGCGACAGCTTCGATAAACCAAGGCACAGATGCCCAATGGGTTCTTCGGAAGCAATTAGGGATGAATGCGTAATATTCCAAGGAGCATATGTGCGCCTCAGCTGAGAAGTCATGGCAGCAGACATTAATATAAATCTGTTCTTAATTTTTAAGTTGACATTTCGGGGGAAAGACGGGAAGTTTCTCCCCGGTGCTGTGATGACAGGCACGTCGCTTGGTTGGGCGCCTAGCAAGGGGCGTCCGGGACGCTGAGGATCCCGCGGCCCTCGGGGCTCCGCCGAGCGAGCGACCGGCCGACGTAGCCCACTCGCCCCAGCCCTGCCGGATCCCTGCAGGCACCTCGGGGACCTCGGCCTCTCCCGGGCCCGGCGCGGGCACAGGAATCACCAGAGAAGGGGGGGCAGCTTTCTGGTACCCTCAGCCCACAGAGCCCACGGAAGGAGCCAGGCACACACCTGTGCGCACACGCACACCAAGGCATGCAGCCCACAGACACTCTATCACATGCATGCACCCGCACACTCCACACACATTCCGTGTACATACCCTGTGTACACACGTGTGTGCATCCACACATACACATGTACAACCCATGCACGCAAGTGCATATATGCACGTGCATACACTCACGCACGTGTGCACAGCCCATGTACATATTCCCACCTCCATGTACACACGTGAACATTGTCATAGCACCCCCATGCACACACTCATGCCCGTGTATGTACATGCGCACACGTGACTCATGACTCACACCCGGGTACAGACGCACACGCATGTCCACACACATGAACACACATGTACAGCCCACACACACCCGTGTGAACGCCTGTGTACACACCCATGTGCACACTTGCACACACCTGAGCACACATACACACTCACACAAACCCATGTGCACACTCCAGAGAGTGCCGCAGCCCCTCGGCCCCGCGCCCAGGCGTCCACGGCCCCCACTGGCCCCTTCTGAGTTGGAGGCCGGCAGGAAGGGGCAGAGGCTCCCGTGGGCCTGGGAGAAAACGGAACCCGGACACAGAAGCTCTCAGCTGACGTCCCAGCGGCGCCAAAGACCAGGCCACACCACAGGGCCTTGGCGCCTGCTCCCTGCCAGGCTGTGTCCCCGGAAGCATCTAGAACAGCCGTCCCGTTCCACTCACCAGAGTTACCCGCCGTGCCCCCCAAAAGCCCGCTCCCCCAAGTAGCCCGCGGGGGGCCCAGGGCGGCTCTCTGCTCGCCCATAGCTCAGTACCCAGAGCACATGCCGCCCCGGACGGGCTGGCCCCTTCAGCATCGCGCCCTCTCCAGCCCGGGGTCCAGGCCATCCCTGCTGCCTCCTCATCCTAGAGTGCTCCCCTGCAGTCTGACACATGAGACAGTGCTCCCTCCTCGTCCCAGGGTGCTCCCCCTGCTCTCTGACAGTGCTCCCTCATTGTCCCAGGGTGCTCCCGCTGCTCTCTGACAGTGCTCCCTCATTGTCCCAGGGTGCTCCCCCGGCCCCCAGGGCGCGCCCTATCCCCGAGTCAGCCCATGCTCTGCCTTTCTCTACCCCCTGAGCGGCCCGTGGCCTCGTCTCCTGCACCCACTTGGTGCCCCTGGCCGCTGCCCAGCGGACGTTCTGCGGAGCCGTGGGAGGGGGGAGTTTGGCGGGAACCGTCGTGGTGGGGAGGGGCACAGAGCGGTGGAGCGTGACCCACGGCCATAGCGGCAGTGCCTGGAACTGGTGAACGAACAGTGAAGAAATGAATGAGTCAACAGATGAATGAGTGAACAAATGAATGCAATAACAAACAATGGAACGGACGACTGCGATGGATAATGGATGAATGAATGAATGGGGTCATGAATGGGTGAGCCAGCACACGGAAGAAGGAATGAATGAAAGGAGAGGAGAGGCAGTGAGCAGCGCGAATGAGTTAATGCCTGAGGACCCAGCCCACGCGGGTCCAGCCCAGCAGGGCAGCGCGGCCGCAGGCCCACCCCCACAGCCCGCGGCCCGGCCCGGCCCGGCCCAGCCCGGTGTGGACGCGTCAAGCCTGACCCGGGTCTGGAGGCGCCGTAATCCCGCCAGGGAGCCCGAGACTTTCCCGGGATTAAAGAGTCAGTGTGATCTGGCCGGCCCGCCTGCCCGCCCGCCCGCGGCCACCCTGGACGGCTCCTGCCCGCTCCGGCCTCCCGCCGGCCGCCTCCACCCTGCAACGGGCAGGCCAGCCCTCTGCGAATAGGCAAGCGAGCGAGGTTGGACAGGAAGGGCCACAGGCAGCTGTGCCCGGCCACAGGCCACCCCGGCACCAGGAGAGACCAAGCCCAGCCCCAGGGCAGGTGCCGGGTGACCCTGAGGAGCCAGAAAGGAAGCAGAGGCCACCCAGGGCTTATCCTGCTGCCCCCCGCACCCTGCCCACCCCTTCTGCGGGAGTGGTTCCTGCTGCCCCACTGGGTGGACAGTGCCACAAGGGCCCTCCCAGCAGGGAAAGTGCAGGGATTTGGGCTCGGGGTGAGTGACCGCAGGCCGGCCCCGGAGGCGGCCTGGCGTCTGCCCTTGTGGCGGGTCCCCCCGAGCCTGCCAGACCCTTGCCCTGCTCCCTACCCAGCAGGCAGGGCGAGCTGACACTCCATGGGGCCGTGGGCTGAGTGTTCTCTCACCTCCCGGGCTGCCGGAGACGGGAATGGGCACCCGCATCCTGCCCCAGAGCCGGGAGTCCCTCTGACCTCGGGGTTCTCGGCCGGGAGCCGGGGTTCGGCCCAGCTCCAACCCCCCCATGCCGCCACGGCACAGCCCAAGGGCCTGTCAGGAGCCGCGTCTGCTCAGCCCCTCTCCCGGCCTCTCACTGACCCTGACCGTCAGAGCCAGGCACGGGGGCACTGTTGAACCTGCCCACACCGGCCGCTAGCCTCCCTGAGTCGCGGAGGGAAGGGTCCCGACCGTCCCACGTCCCCGCTCCCGCCCAGAGCAACCGAAGGGCCGCGGGCTGAGCTCTGAGCCTGCGTCCACTCAACAGGGCCCTTGCAGGCCAGGCCAGGCCTTCCCAAGGCAGCGAGGGGCCAAGCCATCCCCCAGCGTGCCGGAGCCCCTGTACAGAGCCCCCACCTCACGGCTGGGTGCCCCTGACAGCTGCTGGGTCCCCCAGACAAACCAAGCAGATTCCCAGAGGGGGCCTGGGCACTGGGGGCTGTGGGGGGGGTTAACCCACCGGCTCTGATGGGCAGGGGATGGGGGGCTCCTTCCCCGCTCGGCCTGAGCCCACAGAGGCAGCGGGGGGCTGGGCTCTGCTCCAGTCTTGGGGGGCTGCGAGGGAGGGACCCTCCCCCCACCGCCAGCACCCTCAGGCACCCTTGCCGTCCCCGAGCTCGGGTTTCCTCTCAGCACCCTCCCACCCGACACGCCTGGTGCCCACCAGCTGCCTGGCCGCGTGCTCGTCCCGTCCACATTCTCACAAAGCCAATGGGCATCTCCGGGCCGGACAGGGAAAAGCCACCGAAACCCCCTACCCACACTGTCCGCGTCTCGGAGCTGTCCGGGTGAGGCCCCCCGGCACGACGCCCACCCGCACGCCTGGCCCGCGGCTCCACTCACATCTGTAGGTCATCTCGAAGCTGTCGCTGATGTTCACGATGTCGATCTGGGGGAGCAGCTTGGGGGGCTCGGAGAGCTGCGAGAGGGCGAATCTGAAGGCCGCATGCTCCTGGGACTGCTGGCTGGGGAACAGCCCCCCTGCGAGAGAGCGCCGTGAGCCGGGCCCGCCCGCCGCCCACACTCACCCGACAGGGCCAGCAGCCCCAGACCCTGTCCCTTCTGCTGACCACACCAGGCAGGACCAGAGGCCCCGGGCCCGTCCCCTGTGCTGACCACTGTCCCTGCAGGCCCTGACCCCCGACACGTGGCTGTGTGAGGTGGGCAGCGTCCCTGCCCGCACGCGGGGCTGCGTCCTTGGGGGCTGGCTGGGGTCAGCTTCTCCTTGCGAGCCGGGCCGGGCCGGACCCCGCCTGGAACCTCCGTTGCAGTAAGGGGCCGGCCGGGCCTCTGGGCCCCTGGGAGACCCCAGCCCCTCGTGCGTCTCGGCCGTGCTCCTGGCACGGCCGTGTCCGGCCCCTGCGTCCACCACCCGGCTCCGGGCAGGAGTGACCGTTATGTAAGGGTTCGCCTGGGGAACCCGACCCGGCCTGGGCCGCAGGACCCGGGGCTTTGGTGCCTCTCCAGACGCCCGGGCAGGGACACTGCCCCCAGGGGCCTCGGGAACCGACAACAGCTCCGGCCCTGGGTCAAGACTCGCGGGCAGCCAGTCCCTAGCAGTCCATGAGCGAGGGGCCCTTTCCTCATCCGAGGCACCAAGTGTGTCTGCTGGGGGCCGTGACTCGGCCGTGTACACCCACAGCGTGGCACTCGTGGGAGACAGACCGGCGGGTCGGGCGGCCAGGCAGGGGACACACAGAGCACTGACCGGACACCCTGGTCCCTGCTCCCCGTGAGGACACCAGCCCGGGGGCAGCCTGACAGTCTTGGGCTGGGGAGAGTCTTCCTGCATGAGGCACGCGCACACACGCGTGCACACACGCGTGCACACGCATGCACGCATGGACACAGCACCTAGTGTGTGCACACCCGCTCCAGGAGGTCCTAACAGGTGTCAGGAGACAAGTTTCTCCAGGGCTCTTCTCAGCCCCCGGGAGCTGGGGGAGCCGGGCTGGAGCACGTGGCGACCGCCCCCCCAGCCCCCAGGCTGCCTGCTGGAGCTTCGTCTGCTCACAAGGAGGGCGGGCGGGCGGGGGACCACTGGGGGTGGGCAGAGCGGGAGCTGGGGGGGTCCCCGGGCCCGCGCCTCCTCATCCCACAGCTGCAGCTCCACGGCCTTGCAGCCTGTCCCTCCCTGGCCCGTGGCCACAGGAGGCAGCGTGTGTGCATGTGTGTGTGTGTGTGTGCGCGCGTGCGTGTCTGTGTGTATGAGAAGCCCTCGGAGCCAGGAGCCGGGGCAGGCGCAGGACCCCGTGGGCACCAGGCAGAGACCCCAGACCAGGCCCGATGTGTGGGGGTCGGGGTGCAGAGCCGGCGAGGGGGAGCCACCTGTGTGTCCAGCCCCGCGCTCAGCACACCCGGGGACGGACTTGGCCCCGCCGCCCTCCCCTCCGGCCTCACCCGAGAGTCTCCCCGGCAGCGAGCGTGGCCGCCCGTGTCACAGGTCCCTGCCTTGCGTGTGGGTGCGCGTGCGTGTGCGTGTGTGCGTGTGTGTGTGTGTGTGTGAGAGAGAGAGAGAGAGAGAGGGAGCGAGAGCCCTCCGGTGCTCCGCGCCTCCGCCCGCTTGGGGGGCGCCCCCTCCCCACGCGCCCCTGCACAGCCCCCGTGGGTGGGGGTGGGGAGCCCGGCGCAGACCCGTCCCGGAGCCACTCACCGATCTGGATGTTGTTGGGGAAATTGGCCCCCACCACGGCGCCCAGCAAGCCCGTGCAGAAGGCCAGCAGGCACTGCATGTTCCCGCTGGCATCGGCGAGCGCGGAGCCGGGCGCAGCGGCCGTCCCTGCCCGTCCGTCCTGCCTCCTTCCTCTTCCTCGCTCGCCTGCAGCCTCCCGGGGCTGGCGGTGGCAGAGCCGGCAGACACAGAGACACAGGCGGGCGCCCTCCTCCGAGCTGGGCGGGCGGCGGGCGGCGCTTCCCTCGCCCCTCCCCGCACCCCACTCACACAGGCTGCCGCTCCCGCGTGCGTGCAGGGGCGGGGCGGGCCGAGCTCCCCGCCTTCCCCCGGGCGCTCCCCGGCGGCCTGGGGGTCCCCGCCACCGCCCGGTGCCCCCCCCCCCGCCCCCGGCTCCATCTAGGCCACCAGGAATCACGGCCGAGTGGGCGCGTGTGCAGCGCTGGCCCAATTATCCCTACAACTGATTTCTCTGGGGGACCCGGGCTCGCGCGCCCGGAACTTAAAGGGAAAGAAAGGTAACTGGGGGCGGGGGGGGGGACCGGCTGTGAGCGAGACCCTGTGCCCAGGCAGCCCCCTGCCCGGCAGGGCTGCTGCTGGGGGCAGGTTCCCCTCAAACCTGTGCCCTGCTCCCACCCGCTGGGACAGGGCGTCCCCCCCTCGACTCCTGAGCAGGTGACACTCCCCCTCCTGGACACACACGGGGACCCAAGACCGGGACCCACCCAGGACACATACCCAGGACACACTGTGGCCGGCCCCCCACACCCCAGCCTCCAGCCCTCGGACGCCCAGCCCTCGATACTCCAACCCCCAGCCCCCGATACCCTGATACCTCGACACCCCGACCCCAACCCCGGGCACTGCAGGGGTGCAGGGCCTGGGAGAGCCTGAGCTTCTCCGAGTCCCACAGCCGAGGACGCGCTCACCCCTCGGAGGCTGCAGCGGAATCGGTCCCGAGAAGTTGGGGAGCAGGGCAGGGATCCCTGGGGAGTTGGGGCTGTCGGGGCTGTCACGGGGCAGAGAGCAGGGGCCAGGCCCTGCAGTCACTCGGCTGCCCACAGGGGTGCTCCCCCAGGGCCCGAGGGCACGGCTGGTCCCCGCGGCTCCTGCCCCATCGGTGTGGCAAGTCCCCGGGCAGCTGTAGCCCCCAAATGTGCCTGCTCCTGGCCCTGTACCCCTGGGGCCTTTGCTGGCCCGAGCCAAGCCGAGGACTTGGTCCAGCACCCTCTAGGGACAGGGGACCGTGAAGCCCATGTCCCACTCCTTGAAGCTGGCAGAACTTCAGCCTGGAGCCCTTCAGCTCCCCAGGTTAAAGGTGAGAGTTGTTGGGGGATGGACGCTAGCCGGGGCCTGGGTGTGAACATGGCCGGGTGTGGGGGGGAGGCAGTGGGCGTCTGAATGGACGTGGGCCCCTCAGGGGCCCAGACCCCCACCCCCAACCCCCGGTCAGCTGCCCCGGCCGGCCCAGAGTCTGTCTCTGTGGGGTCTTCCTGCTGACCAGAGGTGCAGTGCCCGGCTCAGTGGCGCCCCCTGCTGTGTGGCCAGGGCACGGGCGGGGGGGTCTCGGTTTCCCTCCCACTGGTCACTTTATCCCTCAGGGAAACCCTGAGGCTGGGTAGGCGGGACGTGAAGCCCCTGCTGCCGGACACAGACGGGCAGGGCTGACTGGCCGGGTCCCGGGACACTTGGCTTTCAGGGAAAGTGGCCACCGTGGAGGCGAAGGGGCAGCATGGTGCGGAGTGAGGCAGGACGGGCCGTGTGTGTGCGTGTGCGTGTGTGTGCATGTGTGCCTGGGCCGGCATGTGTACGCGTACGTATGCACCGGTGCTCACATCCATGCGTGCGTGCGTGTGTGCGCCTGTGCGTGCTCACTGGCCCGTGGATGTGCGTGCACGCAGGCAGGAGTGTACGTGCATTGGTGGGTGTCCACATGTGCGCCCTGGGGGCTGAGCGGGGGCACAGGCTGTCCTGGTGTCCTGGGGACCGAGCCCGGGCCGAGTCCTATCCTCCGCTCGCTGACAGAGGCAGGCCCAGGGCTTGTGGGGCTGCATCAGGGAAGGCTTCCTGGAGAAGGAGGCACCAGACCCCTCGCTGTGGCCCCCGGGGTGAGGGTTGGTGAAAAGGAGACGGGTCCTGGCCCCACACATGGGCAGGAACCGTGGACACCACAGTTAGTCTCCACGGGGCAGCCAGGGCTACGGATGGGCAAGCGTGGCCTCCCGGTCTCAGGCTGGACAGTCTGCTGGGGGGCGGGGCAGGGTAGGAGGGAAGGGGGAGGGGAGCTGGACCTGAATAAGGGGCCCGAGGTGAGGAGTGGGGCACCACAGCCCAGGTCAGCAGGGTGGGACTCCTGCAGGTCACTCTGGCCAGGCACCCCGACCCCCGACCCCCAACCCCTGACCCCGCTGTGCCCTGAGCTGCAGCTTCCTACAGGCTCTGGGGGGGGGGGGGGGTCCTGGCCGACTCTTTCCCAGGTGGATCCCTGGTCTCCGATGCTTCCTCAGTGCCACAGTGGACCTCACTTCCGTGGCCCTCGCTTTCGTGGCCCTCGCCCCCGTGGCTCTCGCTCCCGCCCTCGGTGTGGAGCAGCCTGGAGACCAGCTGTGTCCTCGGGCTTGACAAGATGCACAGGGCAGTGCCGTGGGCGTGGCTGAGGCGCCCGGTCTGTGCCGGCTTCCCGGGATGCCGGAGGCACCTGTGGGGCAGGGCCGAGATGCCATGAGGCGAGACGGACAGAGGGACGGACGGACGACAGACGCGGCATAAGGGGCAGCTTCCTGCCGTGCCCGCGCCCGGCCCTCGGTCCTCTCCGAGCTCCCTGCTTGGTGTCCCGCGTCCCTTCCACAAATGCTACAAAGGTCGAGTGTCAGGAGGTGCCAAGCGTCTGCCGCGGCAGCAAATGAGGCGGACAATCCGCGTCTTCCGGGACTGACAGTTTGGCGGGGAGAGGGCGTTCGATTAATTCACAGCTGGGGCGAGCGCTCACCGGCACACCCCCCGCCCCCTGGGAGGCTGGCCACGTCCCCCTGCGCGTGGACATGGGGCCAGGGAAAAGGCTGGAGAGAGGGTCCAGGCAGCCTGGACGCCGAGGGACGCGGCCGCGGGTCGGGCGAGCAGACAGGGCTCAGCCTGAGGGCAGTGTCCTTGGCAGTGTCCTCGGGCTGGGCGTCTGCGTTCTTGAGTCCAGGGTGCGTTAAAAGCCGCAGGGTCGCAGGTGCTGGTGGGCAGGTGAGCGCGACGTGGAGGGACCGGCAGGGTGGCAGCCATGGCACGGTGGAGAAGGAAGTCAGCTTAGCAGGTGGCCCCCGCGGCTGTGGGGGCGGGCGAGGGAGACGGGTGCCCAGGTACCAGGGCGGGGGGCCCAGCGGGCGGGGGCCGGAGCGGCCGAGTGTCAGGGCACACACGTCCTTCCCGAGGGTGCATCTGGCCGCTTCCCACACCCCCACCCAGCCGGCGGGAGCTCAGGGCCCCCCACCGGGGCCCCCAGGTACCCCTTCACTCCCTGGCGTCCAGATGGCCCCCGCCGCGTCCCTCTGTCGGAAGCGCTGTGGCCGCTGTGACACGTGGGCTGTGTGGGCTCGGGACACCCCCAGGAGCCGGCTGACCGTCAGGACGGAGAGCACTTCTCACCTCCCCCGGGACGCCAGCTGGCGGCTCCTTAGCAAGCGGGTGACCGCCACCGGCAGTCCCCGCCAAGTCCATCCAAGTGCCCTCAGAGCCGCGGCCCCACCCGCCGTATCCCAGCTGTCCATCCTTCTCGCCGCCGCCAGAGAGCCTGGGGTCTCCTGGCGGGCAGGCGGGCGTCAGGAGCCGACTGGGGTCCTCGGGGACGGGAGGTTTGTAGCCCCTTTCGGAGCCCCTGAGTGGCCTCTGGCGTCCAGCCGAGCCCAGGCTGGACCCATGGGAGTCACGGCGGCGTCCTGCCAGCCGCTGTCTCCGCTGCAGGTCCCGGAGGAGGCAGCCCATCCCCCCAGCAGGGGTCCCCAGAAACCCACCCCACGGGAGAGAGGGGGCCAGGGGGGCACACCCAGGCCCCCAGCTTGCTCCGGCCCACCCTGGGGTCCGCGCATCCCTGCCCCGGGCTCCGACAGGGCCCTCCCCAAGCTCCACAGACATGCGGGGGCCTGAGTTCCAGGACCACCAGCTCAGTCCCCTGCACGTCAGGGAGGGGTGCCCAGGGCTGACCCCCTGCCGGGTCCCAGACGCTGCTCTCAGGCTGGACCCCATGCTAGGGGCCTCCAGAGGCCACAGTTCAAGCTTTGCTCCTCCTGTTGGCCTTGGGGTCACACCCAGGCTGCTCAGGGCCAGTCCTGGCTGGGCCGGGGGTCACTAGGGGCCTGTGGGGCTGGTGTCCCTCCATACTCCCAGCTCTGCGGGCACAGCTCAGCCCAGGCGCCAAGTGCCAGGGCTGGGGCCTCCCCAGAGCGGTCAGTGGGGGCTGCACTGGCCAGCCCGGAGCCCGAGGGCCTCTCTCCCGGGAGCAGACGCCCCCCAATCCCGGTGGCCCCCAGGGGCCTGGGCTCCAGCTGGCCCTTTGCTGTTCCCCTCCCCCGACGCTGTGGTTACAAAATGTCTCCGTGGAAACGGTTCAAACGCTCTTAAAAATACAAAAGCGGCTGTCGTGGAGGGCCCCCGAGCCCGGCTCTTCGCGGCCCAGACTCCTGGCGGACGCTGCGGATCCATGAGCCAGAGCTGCTATGAGCATGCGGGTCCCCAGACCACCTTTCAGCCAGACGCCGGAGGCCCAGTTCGGGGAGGCGTGCAGGAGGGCCGGCCCGCTGCACCCCCTTCCAGTTCTGCCAGGACCCCCGTGGGCACTTGTGGAGCCAAGGGACCGCCCCGGGCCTGTGCAGGCCGTAGCCACTCACTCCCTTTGGCGGCTGGGTGGTGCTTCTCGGGCCTGGGCCAGGCCAGACCGCGGCGTCCCTCTCCGCTGTCCCATACGGACCCCGTGGGGTCTGTGCAGCCCCCGGCAGCCTCCGGGCTCGATGAGGGTCTCAGCCCCACCGCCCCCGGGGGTCCGTGCCCCGTCCTTCCCACAGGGGCTCTGTCCTTCCACTCTGGTTCATG